CTATACTGTCTTCAGTTGAACGTATCCGTATTTTTTTGAGACATGTTCTCTTTAGACAAAATGCTGACGGTTGTAAATCCTGTATCAATAATTGTATTTCGTTGAAGTTATTTTTAAGTCCTCTGCAATTCGACTGAATTATATTTGACAACTGAGCAATGGTGGTATATTTTGCAATCTCGCTCGTGAATGTAAGGAACTATTGCTCCGCCTGCTGTGTGGGTTAGTGAGTGTTTAACGTCAAATCGGCAATATTTCAGCCATATCGTGACGACAATTGGAATCTTAAGACTAAATACACAAGGAATAAAAAACTGCCATCGATGGGCAATAGAATAACTAGATTATCACAGTTATAAGTTACAAATAGTTGATAGCATTTAAAAGAATAGATAATATACAACAACACATCGTAAAATTGGGCTATAGATCGCCAGCGACTGAAGGTATATCACCATACTAGGAACCATGGGGACTTACAGTACTTTTGCTACCTGCATGGACCCTAGCTGGATTTATACCATCCCTTCAGCAAAGGACTTTCCCCATTTAGTTTATGTAACAATTCCTTACTATGGGCCATTTTATGAGAATTATATAACATGTGTATTCCTCTATCGGCGTCATGTAAAACAAGCCCTGTGATAGCTTTCCTTTGTGTATTACAGAGTCAATTCAGTAACACTAACGTAACCATCCTACTGCTATTGTTACTCCAGCTTGCTGGCGACATCGAGTCGAATCCAGGCTCACAAATGCACGAGTTTCATGACAAAACTCTATCTTTATTTCATCTTAACACCAGAAGTATAAGAAATAGACTGGAATATCTTAGCGTGTATGTTTCCGATAACGACATTGTTGGTTTCACAGAAACACGTTTAGACGACAACACCGATAATGTTTCAATGAAGTGGACAGGTTACCATGACTCTATTCGTAAAGACAGAAACTCATTTGGCGGAGGTATTATGATTTACATCAGAAAAACATTAGCATTTACGAGAATGCAAAACTTAGAAAACATTCATGATGAAACTGTCTGGATACAAATATACCTATCTGTAAAACCATTAATCATTTCTCTAGCATACATACCCGAGTATAAGTCTCTAGAATTCTAGAAATGATTAGACGTAAGTATTGAAAATGCTCTAGGTGTTACAAGTCGAATTACTATAATAGGTAATCTGAATGCTGACCTTCTGTCTTGTAGAGGTAATCACCTTAAAGATATCATGTTAAATAAGTGTTTGAAAAATATTATAACAGAGCCTACAAGGGTAACGCAACATTCTAGTACTTTGCTTGATCCACTTATAATCAGCGAAAAGTAGAAATAATTGATGATTGTGGAGTTATTGAATTCGACGGATCGATAAGTGATCGCAAGGGCACTTACGTGGCACTAACTATGACAGTTAATACACACATTTCATATACCAGAGATATATTATGTTACACCCAAGGTGATTATACATCCTTAAATGCACTTATCAATGAAACAGATTGGACTTAATTGTCAGTAAATTGTCAGGATTCTAAATCAAGCTTGTGAAATATTTTACCAGTATATTTCTCAAATCATGTATCCCCAACAAAGAAAGTCACTATAAGGCCAAATGCCAAACCATGGTTCGATTCATGTCTAAGACGTGAATGCAGGAAAAGGGACAGGCTACGCAGAAAAGCAAAAAGAACAACGCTGTTATCAGATATTACAAAATTCAAAAAGCAACGACAAAAAATCAATAACATGAAATATTATGCAGAAGAAAATGTTTTGCTAATGTAGACACTTTTCGCCTGGATTCATATGCTGAAAGCAAAAGTTCATATTGGAAGCTACTACGTTATCTAGTAAAACAGTTTGGCGCGAATACCTGCATACCGTCTCTTAAATCTAATGATGATCATGAAAGTCCATCTGGTTTCTCTGACTGTGAAAAAGCGGAAAGATTGAATGAGTATTTCCAATCTATTTCATTAGTGGATGGAAAAAATGTATGTCTACCATATTTCAATAAACGAACCTAACCTTTGACACCCTAACTATATCCATATTTGAAATTGAAGATGTCATTAGATGTTTACACGTGAAAAAGGCGTCCGGTCGTGACAGAATATTATGTCATCAACTGTTGAAACACGTTGTACACTCAATAAGTAACGTTTTGTGTTTGTTGTTCAATATGTTTTTGCAAACACGTGTGTACCCTTCTGAGTGGAGAGTTGCCAATGTTATGTCTCTCTTCATGAAAGGTGATCCAACTTTAGCTGCCAACTGTAGACCAATATCCCTTATAAGTTGTGTTGGTAAAGTATTTGAAACAGTTGTCTTCAAACACCTGTTTCATTCTTTTCATGCTAACAAGCTCCTGTATAAATATCAGTCTGGTTTTTAGCCAGGACATTTCACTGTAGATAAATTAATTGAAATATACCACCGGGTTTGTGAATCATTGGATAACAGATTTTTTTTGTATGGTATTTTGCGATATATCAAAAGCGTTTGATCGTGTCTGGCACAGAGGATTATTGTTGAAACTTGACAACTATGGTGTAAGCGGACAGCTGTTGGGATGGTTAGCTAGTTATATAAGTAATCGCACTCAGAGTGTATTTGTCAATGGGTCAGTTTCCAAGCTGAGGACTCTAAGCGCTGGTGTCCCACAGGGGTCAGTTCTTGGCCATTTTTTATTCATTGTATACATTAATGATATAGCAGATGAATTAGATTGCTTAACGCGTCTATTTGCTGATGACTCGTCTTGGGGTCACTCTTCACCAGATAACAGGATTATTGAAATGAACCTAAATGCTAATTTATGTAAGTTAAATATTTGAGGTAAAAGACGGCTAATTAAGTACAACCCAGAAAATACGGAAGCTGTCCTATTCTCGATGAAAAATGATATCGACATACCACATCTTTACTTTGATGGTATTGAAATTAAAATTGTTGATAATCATAAACATCTTGGAGTTAACCTTACCCACGGCGGAAAATGGGCTGGCCATATTCAAAATATGATACAAAAAGTTTCAAAAATGCTTATCTCCATGCGACTATTGAAATATGTATTGTGTAGGGGTACTCTTAATAAGATATATACCGTGTTCATTCGGCCGCATCTTGAATACGCATGTGAAGTCTGGGACGGGTGTACTCTTAAACAAATACATAAACTAGAACAGATTCAGTTACAAGCAGCGAGAATAGTTACTGGTTAACGAAAATATACATCACGTAAATTTCTTTATTTTGAAACTGGATGGACAACATTACAAGATCGTCGTAGAAAACGAAACCTATGTTTGATGTATAAAATTCAAAATGAAATGGCTCCTCCATATCTAATAGAACTGCTTCCCTTGAATGTTAGTTCTAAATCAAAGTATAAGCTACGCAGTACTCTTAATGTATATCGATTCCTATTCCAAGACTTAAACATTCAAAAGAATCCTTCTTTCCATCTACAATATGCTCTTGGAGCAATATACCAACCACCGTTCTTAATTCAAAAAGTGTTTCAACTTTTAAATCATGTATAACCGATAACCATGCATATGCACCTCAGTATTATTAGTGTGGTAAAAGAAAATTAAATATTACTCATACCAAGTTGCGTTATTCTGTTAGTTGTTTGAACTTTGATTTGTACAGAGTTGGATTGAAAACTGATTCCATTTGTATATGTGGTGATTCTATTGAAGACTCGTATCATTATCTGTTTGAATGTCTATTGTACAAACAACGGAGATTTAACTTCGTTTTATCTGTTAAGCGCATTTGTTCATCAGTAGATATTTCAGCTGACCTTAAACTTCTGTTAGATGAAAGTGCAGACCTATCATCATGTGAAAATACAAATGTATTCAAGTTAGTGCAATCGTTCATTAGTGAGACAAAACGATTTGTATAGCATATTGATATTATTCTGTATAAGCCCTATCTCTTTTTATTTATATTATCCTTTCTTGTCCACTATCTGTCATCTTTATTTGCGGGAATCTAAATTACCTATGTACAAGCTAAGGAGAGGGTATTCTTTGGAGTTGGTATAAGTTGGAGAACGTGTTCCTAATCCTTTTCTCTGTGAATAAAATATGTTTGAAACAAACCTGTGAAGGTGAAGGAATGGTTGGTGTTTGTTACCTGTGTAATAAAAGATACGAGACATAATCTGCGATATTTTCGTCTTCACTTTTCCTAAAAGAAAGATGCTAATTACATTTCATTAATGTGGTCGTTCAGATCCATGTTTTATGTATACAATTTTGTGACAATGGCGAGCTGACACTAAATATCAACGCATATGTCGGTGTTGAAAATAGGGTGTGTCATTGTTTACCTTTCGCCCATTTATCGACGACTTTGTTTCTCGAAACTACTGAAAGAACGTTTTCGTGCATTAAACGTAACGATGGGCGTTGTCTTGTTTACGTATACTTTGTCATACTATCGATGAAAGTGTTGTGAAAATATTTAACCACCAGTTCTTAAGTAAATATATAGCCTGTCGCCCAGTAGTGGAGGCCGCGATTTGGGCAGACCTTAATGAAAAGAATCCAAACAGTCGTTAATGGACTGATTGAAGAATCAGGTACAAATAGCGGACGATCCAGAAGTTGATTGATGTTACGTTGTCATGGTAACGTTATATATTTCCACTGGCAAGCTCTGCGTAATTAACGAAAATGTTTACATGTCTTCATTTATTGTCATTACCCTTGATACAGTATTGCAAAGCTTCGTGATTTAACATAAATACCGAAGGTACCGATAGGGATTACAATACAAATGGCAACAATCATCAATTTTAATGTGCTTACTTCGTGTGAAAGGATGTTTTCAAAGTTAATGGTCATTAATTCCAAGCTCAATGGATCCATGTGAACTTTCATTCCAGCGCATACAGGAATTAGAGTCACTGATAGAGCTTTAAGTAAGAGCTGAAATAATTACACTGCGAACAAGCCTGCAAAACACAGAAGCCATGGTTTTCACTTCGGCATCAACACTGTTGCTTCTCGTCATTTTATCAGGGGCTAGCTCTAATGGAATCCAGTCGCCAATAAAGAAGCTGAAGACACATTTCAAAGGTAACGCTGCTGAAGCAGGAATCAGTGTTGACCAAACCGATGACAAACAGGTGAACATAAGTATACTGCCAATGTCCATCTCTTATCTCAATGCAGCCGATCAGACATTCACCTTTAGTGCCGGTGTCAGCATGAGCTGGTTTGACCAAAATCTGGCTTGGAACAAAACTGAATTTGATGATATTGAAAGTGTGACCATCTCAGAAGATTATGTGTGGGTGCCGTCAGTTGTCATCCCTAACGGAATCGACAACGTTGTACCGGCGTCAGTACAGTCACCAAGCATTCGGAGCGAAGGAACTGGAACCCTTCTAATAGTTCAGAATTTTAAGACCAGTTGTCAGATAGACATAACTCTGTACCCGTTTGACCAGCAGCGATGCAGTATTCTGATCCTGCCTGTCAATGGTTACACACTTGATGTACGTGCCACTGGTTCCATCCTTACGGACCGACCGACTTTCTTCATTGAGAACAGTGAGTGGGAGTTGCTTGACATACTTGCGAAAGTGGAAGACGTCGAAATGAGAAGGATATCAACCGTTGCATCGTTTGAGTTTCTTCTGAAACGCAAAAGCATGTTCTATATAGTGAGTATCATCTTACCCATGACTCTTCTCTCTGTGCTCAACGCCTGTGTGTTCCTCCTACCAGCCGACTCCGGGGAGAAGATGTCCTACCTCATCTCCATATTTGTGTCATATGCAGTGTTCATGAACTTTGTCAATGACTCCATCCCCAAGTCTGGAGAGGTGTGCCGACTGTCTGTGTACCTGACCCTCGTTCTTTGCCAAAGCTGTCTTGCTATCATCACAACTATGGCCACACTCAATGTCCGGAATAAGGGGCTCCTATTTCAAACCAAGACAGGTGTTCAGCCAGGAAATGACAAAGTAAACATGAACAGTAACGAACGTCTGAAGTCTCAGTCAAATATCCGCCGCACAGACCACGTTTTGTTTGGGGTGTTCCTGCTGCTGGCACTGATGTCCCTGTTGGTGTTTTGTGTATAGAAAGGAATTCGTCCAGGGTTCTACATTAGAACTCTCCGCTGCGATGGAAGGCCTCAGATATAATCACTATTTCAAGTGTGGGAGTTTCAAGAGATGTAATGTGTTGTGTGGGTTCCTTCAGTAATAATTTATGTTGGATCAATGGTATGTGTCTAGACAGGTGTGACGTAGTTTCTGTCATTGCTGTAAACATGTCTGTGTGACCCATCTACGTAAAGCCAAAATAATTTGGGCGTTCAAAATTTATTGAACGACTTTTTACGCATTCCATAATCAAATGAACCTGACAGTGTGATGGCATGTCAGTGACAACTCAAGTAAGTGAGGAGTTATCTATGCAAATACCGCATGGAGACAATAAGCAAAGTCATCGATATTGACCATCCAGGATTCTTAAGTCAGCTCTAAATATAACAAACATGGCTTAACTGGGGACTCATTGTACGATGATTGCCACTAGGTTCACTTAGAGATGCATTAGTTGACGTGAATCAGTGTTTCATGTCCAGACTAATGCTCATCCAGATAGTGATCAACCAACTTACGCCGAAATTTAAAACATTTAATGAGCAGGCAGAAACAAATGAGATAATCAAATTGCTTCAGATAATGGTGAGGATCTACAAGTTTGTTTTTTTTATTCATGAGCTACATGCTGCCTCATGGCAAACTCAGGATACTGATAACACTCATTATGAAATGTATTTGATAACATGTTGACAATGGGATTATTTCCCGTCATCATGCCGAAATACTGAAATAATTCCAATACCGAAACCTGTCGGGATCATACTGATCCTTCAAATTACAGGGCAATATTGCTTATTAGTTGCCTCTGTAAAACGATGGACTGAATGGTCAATAACAGATTAATATGGTAATTGGAAACAAATAACCTGATCACAAATATGCAATGTGGTTTTAGGAAAAATAGAAGTACCATTGATCATTTGGTTAGATTGGAAACGTTTTTTAACAATGGCATTATTAATAAGCAAACCAATGATATAACCTGGCAACAATATAATGTTAACAAATCTTCATGAAATCGTTCGAGCGGCCGATGTTACATTTTATATCACAGTTTGCAGCAATATTTCACCTTATTTTATGTTATTATTATCAAGATCAGAGCGTACAACAAGACAGCGTATTCTTGGTAACGTTGTTTAATATAAAACTAAATCGCTTATCTTAAGTTTTAATGGGTCATTATTTGTAGATGATCCTAATGTTTCGTCAACAAAGTTTACCCAAAATTTTATGATATGGCATGTTATTGAAAATTGGAAATATTTCAGATAAATGACCACGTTACACTATCTGAAAACTGCAAAGGGTCACACTGATAATATGCTTCGACATTATCCGGGACAAGTGTCTCTTAAACTAATAGAACCAGTAATACGTTTGTCTGTGTTGTATGTTTAAATTCCACGGTCAAATCACACGCGTGCGCTATATACCTTCATGGCATGCTCGCGACTGACCATCAATGCTTTGGTCCAACTGAATGACATCACTTCAAGTTCCCATATCTGTAAACGCGATTATCTCCGATAGCTAGAATACGTATATACTATAATACGGATGGCAGTCACTAACCATGGTCTCTTTAGCAAATGTATTCAGGTGTGTAACTTTAATGTCTTCTAGTTCAATAAATCTCTACTATTGCTATTCTATGCTAACTTGACCGCCTCCGTGATGTAGTGGTTAGAGCGTCCGCCCGGAAAGCGAAAGGTCGCGGGTTCGATCCCCGACCGCGTCATACCAAAAGACGTTAAAATATGGTACTTGTTGGTCCCTGCCTGGTGCTCGGCATTAAAGGGTACAACAAGGACTGGCGGGATCGGAGTCAGTATAATGTGTCTGAGTGGGGTATTCATGCTTGACTGCGGCATGGTATCTCATTGGGCTAGCACTATAAAACCAGCTTAAGTCTGGTCTAGTACATGCAGCCGCACATACACATACACACGCATGCACGTCGTCATATGAGCGAAATATTCTCAAGCACAACGTTAAACCCAATTTCACCTCACCTCACCTCTATGTTAACTTAAATCTTATTGGACATCTCTTTACTATGTGTTACCCTTGGCACTACCTTCAGGTTTATGTGGAACGTGGCATCTTCAATATATATCTAATAAATTCTGCATTACTGTTTAGGATCATTCGTTACTTAATACTGAGTAACACTACGCTGTTTTGTGACGATTATAGAATGTATAGAGTGTGTCGGGTATCTTAACTATTGTATTACGTTGTAAACACTATGCTGTTCTGGACATATATATAATGTAGATTGTGTGAACATCCACTGAGGTGATGTGTAGAGTACGGAACTATTGTTGTGTTAATTGGAATATGTATCGTGATTAATGTATGTGTCGTGGGTGATTGCATTGTTAACATGTTCTAATAATTAATTGTAAACTTTTCTGTCATTGGTTAATTATATACATCGTTCAGTGGCTGTGAAATAAACTCCTCGTTTATTTACTCAGGTGTTGTTCATATGTTATATGTGGGTTGGTATTGTCAAGCGAGCTGATTCCCCAACACTCTCGTTTTAATATAGAAGTAAAATATGCCCATGGTTGAGAAACAGTTGCAGCTTTGTCTGAATAGAATTCATGATTGGTCAGAGCGTAATGGTCTGAGATTGTCTAAATCTAAACCAAACACACAACATTGCATCCTTTTCTGTCGAAAATACATACCAAATGGCACACCCAATAAAGTAGTAAAGGAAACCCCAAATGTTTGCTATCATTTTTGATTTGATAATCATCATACCTTCTTGTCACATGTTAATTATGTTAAAGCTAAATGGTTGAAGGCACTAGATTAAGTAAAGGTGTTCAAGTCGTCCCTCCTTCACTTATATAGAACACTTGGCCGTTCAAAACTCTAATATGGCTGCATCATGTTTGATGGAGCCTGTAAAAGCAACCTTAAACTGCTTGATTCTATTCACCATCAAGGCCTGAGACTATGCCTTGGCTCTTTACGTTGAGCTAGCGACCAATCATTAAACAACGCCGCATTAAACTATATTTGCACTACATAGACACGTTATATTCTACTGAGGTCAACCCTGCATACAATGTGTATTTTATCCTATTTTTATGACACTTTTACAGTAGAAAGACATTGCTTATTTCACCTCTGGGAATTAAACCTTTCATTTCAGCATCTGATATTGAACTCGATCATATACTTGCTCTCTTCTCCACATTAGCAATTAGTAAATCCACAAGTGGACCTCACATTACGCAAACAAGATAAATCAGAAACATTTCAGTTACAGTATTAACAAGAATATAATCGGATAAGAAGTACATATAATACCTACAAATATATATCTACAGATGGATCGAAGGATCGAGGCACAGTCACCAGCGCCACTGTCATTGGATTCAATACATTATCAAGTAGATAACTCTTCCATTTGTTCAGCTCTGAGATATATCAAACAGTCTAAACATTAGCAATTCATAATATTTTTGGACTCGTTGTCCTGTCTTCAAGCTATTAAAAACAGGTCATGGTAGCACCCAGTTTTGCTTGACATATAGCTGAAATAGGTAATGATGTGTTACTGGCGAATACGACATCATCTTTTTGTTGGTCGCCCAGCCATGTTGGTGTCACTGGTAAAAATCACTCTCAATTAATCTGTGTCACCACTTCTTATCCAATTCACCGATGACCTAGACAACCTTGAAGCACACACCTATAATGTGGTGTTATATAACATTAAGGAGAGTGAGCATGATGATTCCTATGATTCTTGTAAATATCTTGTTAAAGAGATCTTAAACAAGCATACACAAGACTGCATGACGTCGATCAGACAAGGGCGATCGCAATTGAGGAAAAGGTAACACTCGTCGGCCACGCCCACTGATCGCGAAGTTTACATGTCAGTGTCCTCCCAGCGGTCAAGATTCCAGACTGCATAGATCGGGGTATCAAATGATCTGATCTGGGCGTCTCATCACTAAACCCAGAGTACAACACGAGTACAAGTAACCAGTGATGAGTTAGGTAGTGCTGTTCAGTTGAACAGGACTGTAATCGGATGCAGAGGGAAATCAACCAAACATTGGGAACACCACCTTTCCGAATATAAACTACCGGGCAAGGAAAGTTATCACTTTTCAAATAATTGTATACAAACACTAAAAAAACAACGCTGGTGCAGGTTTGAACCCAAGCAGAAAGCATTCGCCAAAGGGCAGCATGGTCCCAATAACAACGGAGCTGTCCGAAAACTTTGTACGAATCGAGCATTTTTCAAAAACGTGAAAAACATAATTGTTGGACATTATTCCAAATGAACGTGCATGATTTTGGTATACATACCGATGATGGACAGAGCAAGTATGCAGTAACGAAAAAAAAGAATTACGCAAGCGCAACGTGACAGAGGGATCGGTATGGCCAATATGGGTGCATCACAACGTCAGCAGACAAGAACCTCCAACTGCAGCCAGGCCACCATCAGCAATTGATATACCGCCAGAACAGATTCGTGACGGCAGCGATGGCGACAGCACTGGGACACGCCATCAGCAGACGAAGAGTCCTTCGAAGACTTGGTATGACTGGTATAGGAGCCTACCGAGCCCGCTGTGGAATGGCCCTTAACCCGTCTACACCGACTGCAGTGAGCAAGAGAGTGCTCTTTAAAGATGAAAATCGGTTAAGTCGGTTCAGAAACCATGGCACAGTTCGAACCTTTAGACGTAGAAGTGAGCGACTGCCTCCAAACAGCGTCATGATATGGGGTGGTATTTGTAGCCAGAGATCAACAAGACTTGTTATTATAAGACAAAATATTATGGATATCAATTTCTTCTTTATTATATACACAACGTTTATGGGCTATTCCTTGCCCCTTCGTCAGGTGAGTACTTACTAACAGTTGTACAGGATATATATACTAGTAATGTTCACGAAGCCAGGGTGATTTTAAGCATGTATATACAATAAATAGCGGATATAAGATGAAAGAATAAATTATACAAAAGCAGATATGGTGTTGTTACAGTGGATTCAGTGGGTAAGTGGTAGAAGCCATTGAGTCTAATTGCTGTAGAAAACGGTGGCAGATAGTCTAATGATATACAAAAGCTAGGATAAGATACAAAGTAAGATACAAAATGTAGGGATGATGCTGTTACAGTGGATTAAGATCGAGAGATTGGTGAAGCCATGAGTCTAGTTAATTTCCCAGGCATTGGGTTGGTAAACTCCTTGATCTCTGTTCATCTGTGGCGCTAATCTTTTGATGCAGATAGACCCTGAAATCTTGCGTCGTCGCCAGTCACGGATGTTCGATGTTATGATGGTTGTAGCTTGCCAGTCAATGGAGTGTGATGGATTGTTCACAATGTGTTCAGAAAGGGCTGACTTTAGATGTGATTTCTCTACCGACGTTTTGTGCTCTTTGAGCCTAATGCCAATGGGGCGGGATGTCTCTCCTACATAGCTGCTGCCACAGTCACACGTTAGTTTGTACATGCAACCCCTGGGCTTCTGAGGGATGTTGGTTGAGGTACATCTACCATTGGCCTTCAAAATGGTTCTTAGTGTTTTGTTAGAGCTGAAGGTCACATCTATACCGGCAGTTTTCTTGAGCAGTCGGCTGATGTGGTGGCTGATCTGACCTTGGTAGGGAATGTTTATTCTAATCGGGGATGGCTCAGGTTTGGGTTGGCGTTCATCTTTCTGTTGGAGGGTCGATGCTATGGTTCTGTCTACAAGACGTTTGGGATAGCCGTTGAGGTTGATGAATGTGGTTCTTAGAAGAACTGTTTCAGCTTGGAGATGTTCAGGGTCGCAGATGGATTTAGATCGTCTGGTTAGGGTTGATAAAATGGCGCGTTTGATCTGGGGGTGTTGGTTGGAGAGGTAATGTATATACTTGTCAGTGTGGGTGGGTTTTCTGTAGACGGAAAAGGTGATGTTGTTGGAGGAGTTCTGCAAGTGCACGTCTAGGAACGGAAGTTTCTGTTGGTCTTCTATCTCCATCGTTAACTGGATGCGCAGGTGCTGCTTGTTGAGATGGTCGAGGAGGATGGCAGGATCGTGGTCGGGATCCAGGATGGTGAAGGTGTCATCCACCTTTCTGTACCAGCAGAGTGGTTGGAAAGGGGATGTAGTCAGGGCTGTCTCTTCAAAGCTGGTCATGAAGATCTCGGTGATTAGCGGTTACAGAGGTGAACCCATGGGGAGCCCATGGATTTGTTAATAGATGTTGTCTTGCCAGGTGAAGTAGACGGTCCGAAAGCAGCTAGAAACTAATTTTACAATGCTATCCACAGTGCGTCTAGTGTCCAGGGTACTGATACAAGAGTCTGGTATGGCACGGAGGATGTGACACCACTAAACATCTCTTGGATCATCTTGATCGTTATCTGACCGACATTTAACTTCACCTCGGCAATATTTCAGCCATATAGTGACGGAAAGGTTGTTCATACACAATAAATACAAGTAGTTAAATAACCGTAACTGTAAAATAACTAGAGTATCACAAAAAGAGTTAAAACTAGCTAGCATATATCTTTAAAAGTAGAAAACTATCTGGGCAATACAATGTACAAATGGGCTATTGGTCGCCAACAACTGAGGGTAGATCACCATACCAGGGACCATGGGGACTTACAGTGCCTTTGCTACCTGCATGGACCCTAGCTGGATGACACCATCCCTTCAGCTGCTGGTGATTGTAGGAAACATTTAGCCGAATTTTAAAAGATAAAAAATACTACCCTTAAATGAGTGAGTGAATTTAGTTTTACGCTGCACTCAGCAATATTCCAACTATATGGCGGCGGTTTGTAAATAATCGAGTCTGGACTAGACAATCCAGTGATCAGCCATCTCTGTAGAGTAGGCTACTTCCATCTCCACTCTATTGGTAACAACCGCCATCTTGTAACCACAGATGCAGCTAAAGTTCTCACTCAGTCACTTGTTCTTTCCAGGATTGACTATTAAAATAGCCTACTGTTTGGAATCTCCAATGATCTTCTCTTCAGACTTCAAAACCTTCAAAACGCTGCCGCCAGAGTTGTCACTAAAACATCCAAATGGTCTCACATAACACCAATCCTCCAGAGTCTGCACTGGCTGCCGGTTGAAGCCAGAATTCATTTCAAGATCCTCACTCTTGTTTTCCGCTGCAGACACGGCCTAGATCCTCCATACCTCTCTGAGATGTTGTCAACATATATGCCTGCCCGTTCTCTCCGCTCCCAGAATCAAGATCTTCTCTCAGTTCCCCAAGTTCATCTCAAACACTTTGGCCATAGGTCATTCAAATATGCAGCACCAACCCTGTAGAACAGTCTTCCTAATCCCATAAAAAATGCTGCGAAATATTCTCATGATCATTTTGAGGAATTGTCATATCTTCCTCTTCAGCTCTAGTGACTCTTTTATATGTAGCGCTTTGAGCATGCTCTGGATGGGCTATGGCGCATAAGAAATATCCATTTATTATTGTTATTATTATCAACAGCATGAGCATCGATCTGCGCAATTGGGAACCGATGACATGTGTCAACCAAGCCAGCAAGCCTGACCACCCGATCCCATTAGTCGCCTCTTACTACAAGCATGGGTTACTTAAGATTCATTTTAACCCGGACCTTCACGGGTCTACAACGTTTAAAAACCGGTAAGCTTAAACTTAACTTTGAAAGTTTTGGGACTTATGTACCCTCTCAGGAGAACAATAATTTTACGATACTTTAACCCCCTTTAAGGGAACCGACAGGAACTCAAACAATCCCTCTTGGACTTATGGAACAGGATTCCTGCAAACGTCAATGTTGAGAACTGTGTTGGTGTGAATGGATGCCTAGGATGGTCACACTCGCTATTGATGACATGCCCCTGACACATGTCTCATTATGTGACTCTTTATGCACTTTTTGAATAAACTCTGATTTATGAAATTTCTAATTTTGATCTCTTGACTCTTTCTAAATACATTGGCCCAAATGCAAGATCAGTATTACAATGAATTTTCACTCGAATTATTGGAAAATGTTTTGTGTTTGTAAAATAGTTATAATAAATCTCACATACGTCTTTGTTTCTATTTTTGGTCAAGTGAAGTCGGTGATAACTTTCTTTTGCCCGGTAGTTTATATACTTTTACGAACTCTTCGTACGAATGCAAACGTACGATCATGCAAGGGACGTAATTCATCACGATAGAAATGCGGCAATGCTTTTGTCTCGAACAATTCAAAGAGGTAATCGTATGAACTATAACAAAGCAGTTTTAAGAATATATTATAGGTATGTGGATTAAGCAACTGAAATTTAAATCAAGTCCACTGAATTTTCTACCGATGGCACATAATCTCCACACACACTACACTTCTGTGATTGACAAACTCTGGTAATATTGCAGTAACAGCAAAGATTAATCAAATGGGTTTTTTTAGCTTTGTGTCCGTCCATAAAAGTGGTTGATGCTAATATTCTCTAATGAGGGTAGATGCAGAAGGCATGTGTGCATGACTGAATGACTCAGTGTAAACTGATCTCCCTCTGATGGTGATGACACGTATTGTAACAGAAACAGCAACTAGGATGTATCTTTTCTTTCGTTGTCTTATATGTTTCTTTAAGTTTAATTAAGTTTTACTAGAAACCGGTTTTTCTCTGGTGTATTATCATTGGGTGTTTTGTTCCTTGGAAACTGTGTGAACTACCTCCAATGTGTGTACGGCAGCAAAGACAAAGCAATTTACTTCATGTAACGAACAGTCCGCAGAAAGATTTAAAAAAATAGCTTCATTTAATAAATCAATTTCATTTCTTTATTATTATGATTTACAGATTAAAGATAATATGCTGCAGAGAGTGTTCGGGTGATCCTTGCACAGTCAGGCTGGTAAGGTTCATCATCAGCTCAGGGCCCTTGCCCCCTCTACACACAGCCCAGACAGCGAATGGCCGCACCGAGAACGATGGGAGCCTGACGACAGTGTACTTGGGAGTTTGCGAGACATTTCAAAGGCGAGCTTTTCCTGAATCTTGCCAATCTTGGGGGTTGCGAGTGGGAAGTGACTGGTCTTGAGCAGCAAATAGAAAGCCCTTCAGTTTCACGTTTAAGACCAGCCGACTTCATCCAGGCGAAGGCGTCCGTCGGATTAATGTTCTGTCTACACACTTCATGTACACACGATGCAATGTATTTTTCATAAAGCTTCTCCACAAATGACCGACTCTGAGCAGACTTGGTGAAGAATTTTACCTGGTTTACGTCCATCGCTGTACCGTCAAGCAGTACATCGCCATCGACAAAATCAACCTCAAATTTCAGATTCTGTCCAACAACCTTGGCACGCTTAAAATAGCTGTGGAATTTCTTGCGTTCATCATGAGTCTTAACATGCATCACCAGAGGATCATCCGGTGAATAAATATGTGCAAAAGTACACAATAAAATTATATCATGAAGAGCCTCCATTTTAATCAAACCCCGACTTCCAGAATTGATTGGCGTATAAGAATTGATTGGCATATACGAATTGATTATTATTATGATTATTATCTTTTACAGATTAAAGATAGTATGCAGCGGAGAGGGTTCGGGTGATCCATGCACAGTCAGGCTGGTAAGGCTCATCATCAGCTCAGGGCCCTTGCCCCATGTAGACGCAGCCCAGACAGCGTATGGGACTTCTCCCAGGAAACGCTGCCTAGTCGAACCACCAAGTGATAGAGTAAGTTAATATTTAACGTCACATCGGCATTAGCTCAGCCATATCGTGACGAAAACAATTTATACAATACAAAAATGAAAACATTGTGAAGAGTTAAACCTGTCAACGATGGAGAGTAAAAAAGTACTAGAGTATCACAGAAATGAACATAAAACTAGCATCTAAAACTAAAACAGTGTAATTAAAGAAGACAATACAATATAAAACACAGGCTACAGATCGCCAGCATCTGAAGGTAGATCACCATACTAGGAACCATGGGGACTTACATTACTTTTGCTACCTGCATGGAGCCTAGCTGGATTTATACCATCCTTTCAGCCGCTGGCGATTGTAGGAAAATTTAGCCGAAATTTGAAAGAACAAAAATACTACGTTTAAAAACTTGGTTCGTGAAAATTCGTGAAGTTTTTGGGACTTACGTACCCTCTCAGGAGGACAATAATTTTACGCTACTTCAACCCCCTTTGAGGATACAGCCACTAACAATCTAAGTTGATAATCTGAACTACCAATTATTAAACTTTATCTATTTACAAAACATATATCAAAATTCATGTCTATCTCTTTTAAAAAAATCAATGATTAAATGAAAATTAACTTTATTAAAAAGGTCCTGTACTCGAACCACCAAGAACTTTCCGGAGAATATGAAGACTCCCCAACACTGCAGCCCTCTGCATTACCCAGAGTGTCAGAAGGGCTGTGCTCCCGGTGGAGAACCCGGACACTCTCCTGATCTGTGCCAAAAGATCAGGAGGAACGAAACCAAGGGCACCGAGAACAATGGGGAGTCTGACGACAATGTACTTGGGATGCAAGCGAGACATTTCAAAGGCGATATCTACATACTTAGCATGTTTATATTAATTATTATTTCATTATTATATTAAACGACCAGTGTGTTAATTTAATTCCTAGATAGCATTTCGGTGGTTTTTATAGACTTCATTCCATACAACCACATACAGGAAGCAGTAGTACCCATGATTCCCGTTAACGTGTTCTTACTTTGGTACTGTAGTCTATAACCTTATTTTAGTGTACCATAAATAATTTGGCGGAAAACTAGATGTGTGAAAAGTAAAATGTGAAACATTCCTGTTTTGTTGTCCTTTGCAGACTAGTATTCAATTATAACTAACTTGTAACCATCGCTTTATGGCTGTAATATTGCCGATGAGATGTAAAATTTGAACTCACTTACTATTACTGTAAGTGTTAGCATGGGTAGGAAGATCGACTTTAAGACGACAGATTGTCCATTTAAACATCTGAGCTTTTGTTTTTGTATTTCCGTATATATTTATGTTTCATTCATACTCATATTTAATCTAAAATCATCTGATTACATCCAGTAAAATAGAAGCGACAAAACCCTTTCCACATCCACATACATAAGACAACTCACGAGGCAGTATCGTTGGGAAAAACACCATAATACTGAAAACATGCCTCCATGCCTTCTATAATAATACTCTTATTCTTCCTTATTCCAGTATACTCTTACAGAAAGTAGGGGAACTTTATTTTTAAAGATTCACGATTCACGATTAAAAGATTGAGATATATCGGAGTCAGTCAATGGTGACATGATAATAATGAATGTTTTGAGAGTTCATCACCACTTGCACTTCCTTATGACCATAGTTGTTTGTACAGTAATCGCTCTTGAAAAATGATGATGTATGATGTGAAATTTACATGAGTACGATTTTTATTTTCAAACAACAACAAAAACACAGCTAGAAACAAACATGAACAACAGTGTGATGTAAGATGATTGTCAAAATTAATGGTCTAGCTATAGTGATCTATCGACCTTCTTGAAAACCGTCAAAATCAAGAAGGACACCCCATGCACGTGTTTGGGCCTACTGCATTGTGCACGTGAATCCAATGAGTTTTGTTCAGGGTTGGTGATAAAGAGAAATGGTGGTGTGTTCATAAGACGTCTGTCTTTGAAAACTTTGATAACGCTTATCCTTCCTATTCAAATTGAAAGTTCAGGTTCCCCTACTTCTTTTGAAGATTATAGATGTCATCTTTTCCGATGGAAGCAACTCAGCTTTCAAAGCGCACATAATCCGACAATCCAAAAGGCATAATAGAAATGAAATGCTGAAAGAAATCTAAGCTTCAGCTGAAATGGATGTAAACTCTTTTTATAAAAACATTCGAAAACAGAGAGCAACTGTTACTAATGTCCCAGTTCTTACATACGGGGAAGCGAGTGGATCAACACCCCTTGACATTTGTAGAATTTGGGGGAAATATTTCTCAGATTTAGCTCAACCACACGAGTCAGATAAATTTGACTCTGACTTTAAAGATCATGTATCTAAAAAGGTTACTGATATAAAAATCTCCCATGACGACTATGGTGAAGAACTTGAAAAGGATTTCTCCTTCAGTGAAGTTAAGGATGCCATTAAATCTCTGAGTAAAAACAAATCACCTGGCCCTGATAGAATTACAAATGAACACATCATCTTTATCACCACCCATCTATGCAAACTATTCAATGCTATCACTACCTCTCAATATGTCCCAAAGGAATATAGACTCGGTATGGTTATACCAATATATAAAGGCAAAAAAGACAAAAGTGACCCACGAAATTACAGAGGTATCACCTTAACATCTTGTCTCGGTAAGCTTTTTGAAAAGCTCCTTCTTAAAAGAATCGAACATAAATTAACAAAATCAAGGCCAGATTTTCCGGATATGTTACAATTTGGCTTTCGACGCCAACATGGAGCCATTATGTCTGTATTCACGCTCATGGAAAGTATTCAATTTTATATGCATAGAGATTCTGCTGTTTTCTCTGCCTTTCTTGACATTGCAAAAGCCTTTGACAGAATCTGGCACGATGGATTGTTTTATAAATTGCATGAAATTGGTATAAGCGGCAATACCTGAAATCTTTTATATCACTGTTATACTCATAGCGAATCCTTTGTTTGTTACCAGGGCGAGAGATCAGATACATATTGTGTCAAGCAAGGTGTTGGCCAAGGAAGAGTTATTTCAGCTTGGTTCTTCCTTATTTTTATAAATGACCTTATCACTTCTCTCAGAGAAGCCAGTTGTGGTATTTGTGTATACGGTATGCATGTTCCTGCAGTCTTGCTTGCTGACGATATCACGCTTATTAGTGCATCACCTAAAGGTTTACAATCATCATTAGACATCGTGTCGTCATATGCCTCCAAATGGCGTTTGACCTACAACCCAGCTAAAAGTACTATAGTTGTCTTCAGCAAACGAAAATCCACTTGTTCTAACTTCCAGTACCGCCTTGGTGATACGCCTATCTCCCAGTCTGAATCAACTACCTATGGAGGTGTTCTCCTAACTGATAATCTCTCAACAAAAACAAGAATCGTTAGGTATTGCCAGAAAGCAAGACAAAACATAAATTCCCTAAGATCTGTGGGACTTCATCACTCTCAACTCCATCCATTCACATGCGTCAAAATCTGGCTGAGAATGATACTTACAACAAGTCTCTATGGCTGTGAAATATTACCTAACATTAGAGGTCAACAAGCCGATGCACTTGAAGTTACACAACGATATTTTGCTCGTATTGGCCAGGGGCTCGATAAAAGATCACCAACAGACTCTACTATTGCAAATCTGGGATTGTGGACACTCATTGGTTACATCGACAAATGTAAACTCATTTTTCTTGGACGTCTATGCAAAATCTCTTGTAATAATTTTGCCAAAAACATATTTTGTGCAGCAATAACCACATCTACAAAATCCCCTTCAATCTGTGATGATCTACTATCAGTACTCTACAAATATAATTTACATGTACACATAGATAAATATATTAAAGAAGGTGTATTCCCTCCAAAGTACGAATGGCGAAAAATTGTAAATACATCTGTACATAGCTATGAAGAACACAGATGGGTTATGCAAACCTCAATTAATACAAACATGACGCTTTATGCACGGGTCCATTCCAAGTTAAACTATCATATCCTCTGGCAATTGGCATACTTGCATCCCAATTATAAATCTGCCCTCCAAATATGTATTAAAATCTCATCACGTGGCAAAATATCTAAAGAATGTAACCTATGCAACAAATATACTTATGATTATGATTTTCATATACTCCTACACTGTGAACAACTTCACACTGAGAGAAACGATTTTTTTGTGTTTATGATTGACAATCTTGATGTGGACACCTATGTTGCCTTTGAATCACAGGATGAACTCGACATGCTCTCTTTTCTATTTGGAGGTGAAACTGTTTTTAATGATACTGTTGATCAAGGGACATAGGAAACAATCATTTTACGATTTTCTTTATACATTTACCGAATAAGACGACATCTCCTACAATGTTACACTGATTGATCTCTGCAGATTTATAATGATATATGTCCACTGTTTCTTGTATAAATTAATTGTATACACTTATACATGTATGTTCTTATGTAAATTGTAGCTTTAGGTATTCATCTTGATTAATATAATTGTATATACATCTATATCAATTTTGTAACTTTGCCTGTTTGTTGTATCTACATGTATATAATATGTTTGATCTTCGGATGATCGTCTGGAGGAAATAAAGACTCTCTCTCTCTCTCTCTCTCTCTCTGTCATTAAACTCCAGGGCACAAAGGATGAATTACTAAGTCAGCGTGTCTGTAGTAAATGCAAACATAGGACGTTTAATGTCCTTTTAGGTCTACATGCCTGTCTAAAAGGAGTGAGCCGAATTCATCAGTAACTGGTATTTCTGTTCGCAATGCATTACATTTTATATGAAGACTTCAATTCATAATGGTATCAGTTAAGGGCGATAATAGATAAGGTCGTTGGATTATATATGAAATACATATTTCAAAACAGGATTTATTATTACGTGGACTCCATATTACTTCCATGACATAAGTACATTACTTCAACTTAACCGTGAAGATCCGGGTTGGTGTCAAAGACGAGGTTGTAATGGCTGTTTTTTAAGTGAATTGGTAGCAACTAGTTGAAGAGACTTGACCTATGGAGATCATTGGGCTCGTACTTTATCTACAAATGAAGATCCGGGTTAGAATTGGTCTTCAGTAACCCATGAGACTAACGGGATCGGTTGGTCAGACTTGCTGACTTGTTTGACACATGTCATCGATGCTCATGCTGTTGATCTGGTCCAAACTCTATTATTTACTGACCGCCATATAGCTGGAATGTTACTGATTGCGGTGTCAAACAGGAAGACAACCAACAAACTAACCAACTGCCATCTTTGATAAACATGTATTTATTAGATAGACACTTTTGAGCCATTGTGGAACGATTCTTATACCTTTAAAACTTAACAGATAAATGTTTCGTGCACATACTGTTGTCGAAGTAAAGAGAATATATATTCTCTACCGGTGACACATTATCTCAATCAATATACAATAGCAGAAACAAACAATAATGTTCATTTACAAAAGTTAAAATATGACAGTTCTCATTTCAAAATGTTTTAGCAAAGACATTGAATATACAATACATTTCCGTGCTGGAAACAACTCTTGCGCAGGAAATGCTGAGGCAAACACCACCTATGACGTGTGAGCAAATAATCTATTGACCATGTCAACTACAACAGCAATATTAATAGCGTGAAATTGTTCCCATGGCATAACCATTTTGATTATTATTGCATAACTGAGTGATTCAATGTAAAGTGATAGCCCCCTGCTTGCAGAAGGTGGAGGCAGGCAGTTTCACAGGAAGAGCACAAGTATAGATCTGTTTGTGAAGCACTTACCTATTATTCCTTGTTTAATGCATCGGTGTGATTTGATATTCCAGCATAGGGGTAGTGTATGGTCCAAATAGATGTCGTTCGGTAACCTAAGCAACGGATGAACTGAAACAACACATGCACATCAAAGCAAACCATTCTGCGCATCACCACTGTACAGTGACATCATGCATTTCATGTCGGCGTTAGCACTACTTTCACTCGTTGTCTTATCAAGCGCCAATCCGAACAATAGAACCCAGCCAACATTAAGAAGACTCCTATCATATATCCAAGGGGAAAACTCATCTGCTGGTATTGCTCTGGCCCTCACTGATGGCAAACAGGTGAACATTAGTATACTGCCAATGTCCATCTCCAGTCTCAATGCAGCAGAACAGACTTTCACTTTTAGTGCTGGTGTCAACATGATATGGCTCGACCAAACCCTGGCTTGGAACAAAACTGAATATGATGATATTGAAAACGTGACCATATCTGCAGATTACGTGCGGGTTCCTTCTGTTGTCATCCCTAATGGTATCGACGAGGTAAGACTGGATTCAGTAAAATCTTCACTGATTCAAAACAACGGAGAAGCATCAGTTATTATTACTGACACTTTCAAGACCAGTTGTCAGATAGACATCACCATGAACCCCTTTGATGAGCAACAATGCAGCATGATGTTAATGCCGTCGGGTAACTTTTATCTTGGAGTTGATATGGCTGGCTCGATTATGGGGGGAGTACCGACATTCTTCATAGGGAACAATGAATGGAAGTTGGTTGACCTATATGCCTACGTTGAAGATGTACCGATGGGACGGATCCCAAATTTGGTGAAATTTGATTTTTGTTTGAAACGCAAGAGCATGTTCTATATAGTGAGTATCATCTTTCCCATGACTCTTCTCTCTCTGCTCAACGCCTGTGTGTTCCTCCTACCAGCTGACTCCGGAGAGAAGATGTTCTACCTCATCTCCATATTTGTGTCATATGCAGTGTTCATGAACTTCGTCAATGACTCAATCCCAAAGTCCGGAGACGTGTGTCGGCTCTCAGTGTACCTGACCCTTGTCATCTGCCAGAGTTGCCTGGCTATCATTACCACTATGGCCAGCCTCAATGTTCGCAGTAACAGCCTTCTGTTTAAGTCCGAGACAGGTGTACAGCCAATGAATGATGAAGTAACCACGAACAGCACTGAACGCCCACATTCGAAGTCCGCCTCAAAATGACTGCCGAACAAAACGCGTCTTGTTCATGGTGTTCTTGGTGCTGGCTCTGATGTCCCTGCTGGTGTTTTGTGTATAGGAAGGACTGAGTCTGGAGGTAGACATTCAATGTCCTCCTGACTGTCTGAGGGAATGCCTCAAGTGTAATTTCCACTTCAAAAATTTGCTTTTTTGATGTAGTCAATGTATATGGTTGGTATATAGACTCATGTGGCATTGACTGTTGTTGTAACAAGGTAACTATTTACCTAAGTATGTGCTTAAAGTCAATATAATAATATGTTTTAATGTTTTTGTAACAAATGTATTAGTGAGTGAGTTAATATTTATCGTTACATTGGTAATATTTCAGCCATGTCGTGATGAGAACAATTAGTTATTATATCATAGATCAATAAAATTAGAATTAAAAGCCTGTTGACGAAGAACAGTAAAACTACTAGTGTATCACAGATATTAAAGTAAAACTAACATGTTATCATAAAACGATATTATTAAAGTGAACAGTACACTATACAAACATATAGACTATAGATTGCCAACAACCAAAGGTAGATCACCATTCAAGAGACCATGGGGACTTACAGCACATTTGCTTCCTGCATGGAAACAAACTTATGACGGACTTTATGGCTTTCCTCAGTCAGCTAAGTAATATAGAATCTGGAGCAGATCATCTGTTTGCGATATATCTACAAACATACAAGTGACGGGAGATACATTGAATCTGAGAGTCGTGGGAAGTTGGAAGAAAGTGTGCCCTCCACACCATCACCACAATGAATCAGTGAACAAACTAAACTCTTTCATTACCCTTCTTATTCCACTGATCTGGTTCCGTCAGATTTCATTCCGTTTGAAACTAAGGAAGCTCAAGCTCGGATCCAGATGAAAGCATCTGTGGGGTATTTTGTTCTCAGTCTGCAGATGGACCCAGATAGAAATCCTTCAGTAGTATGCAGAATTGTTGCTGTACCTCGGATCACAAACTAGCTTAATCTTAGATCACGACCAGCAACAGCACAAGGACCAGATAAGGAGCATAACTCTCCACAGTGAATTGCGATGTTTAAAAGAAGAACATAGTATGCTACTTATCGACATTCTTCCCATATTTCGGGGCGGTGGGGTAGCCTAGTGGTTAAAGCGTTCGCTGGTCACGCCGAAGACCCGGGTTCGATTCCCTACATGGGTACTTGCTAAAAAGCGACCTAAAATCCCACTCACTCATCACATATTTCACAATTCATTTGTCGTGCTGATGTTAATCAGTTTCAGAGGGAAAGTTAATAGTACCCTGTGTTTAAAGCGTCTGTGCCTCATGCCGAATTCCAGTCTCGATTCCCCACATTTTGGTATTGCTAAATTGCAAAAAGGAGCGTAAAACTGAGTCACTGACATAATTTCAAGGCTGCATTGCTGTGTCCATCAAGTCAGTGCTAAGCAACTATGGGCCCACCCACGTTGGTTTGTGCGAAATATTTATTAGATAGCTTTCGAAACATTACCCGTTGGAAGGAGCAATATCGGTGTGCCCATGTTGAGTTTCTAATTGTTATTCCCTCTAATTGTATGTTGACAACCGCTAGCAATGATTTAGCTAAAGTTTCTGTTGATTCTTGAGGAACAGATCTCTTGCACATGTGTATTTATTGTTTCATTGTCTAAACGAATTGTATTAAATGCTGATGTTGTCCTTCGTTCAAACCAGATATAAATGCATTTATTATTGACAGATGTGTATGCAGTGTTATGTGTCAGTGAAACCTATTGTCTAACAATGTGTAATTGATTGTTTCTGTTATATTCATTTGTTTATATAAAGTGCAAACGCAAATGTGAAGCCACGACTGACTTTTATTAAAGTGAGTGAGTTAATATTTAACGTCACATCGGCAATATTTCAGCCATTCTGAATAATGTACTTATTGATAAACGCAAGCATGCGCCTGAATAACAACTGATGTTGTGTGAAAAACAGGTGAGGTGAAATTGGGTTTAACGTCTTACTTGAACACCCCACTCAGTATACTGACTCAGAGCCGACCAGTCCTTGTTGTACCCTTTAATGCCGAGCGCCAGGCAGGGATCAACAAGTACCATATTTAACGTCTTGTGGCATGGTGCGGCCTGGGATCGAACCCGCGACCTTCCGCTCTCCGGGCGGAGGCTCTAACCACAACACCACAGAGGCGATCGTGTGAAAAACATAGTTCACGTATTTTTGGTATGTTTGACCATCAGTTACTGTTGATGCTTGGCCAAACGTATTGCTGTTGCCAATCATATTGAGTTGGTTAAGATTTAAACAATGGTTTAATTTTGAGATTGTTTTTTCATACCTAGCTCTTCTGCCTATAGATTTCTGAGCAAAAATATTGCAAGAATGTTTAACTTGACCCCATTTCACAATGGATTTATATCTGGAGTTCAAGGAATATGTCCGAGACAAAACTATTACTTGTGCACTTACGAATAAAATGACAAGACGCCTGACGTTTGGATTCCGTTGGATGAAAGCTTAATTTTAGAGGACGCTCTTCATAGTGAATATTATTTGTGAAAACGTCATTGTGTCATCTATATCACATCATTATAACATGCTTATACAACCCTTTACTTCACCTTACCGCCCAGTTCTCTCCATCGTCTGAACACGACATGCCCTGTGCATGTAATACATTCAAGTTCCAATTCTTGCACAATTGAATAGAAGAAAGAATAATAACTAATGGACATTTTGTACCATACATTTGCCTGGGGAGTCCTATGCCACAAGGCAGTAGCTCAATGGACAATCGAGGTGACGTTGACCCCCAAATTCAATATGTATCTGATTTCAAGTCGTCTTGCAAAACCAGTCAGACACTGGAATTAGTGTACAAAATATTGCTATTTTGTCATGCTTGCCGGAGTATAACAATCATGTATCCCTAGTGTTGGCATCGTGGATATCCGGTGCATTACAACTCTGTCTCTCCACTCGACAATTCGTGGTGGTCGGGGAGCAAGGTTGTCCGACCTCGGCTGAAGATATTAACATGGCACATAATCATTCTGGTTTAAAACCTTATGATAAGAAAAGACGGTTGGAAGCTGTGAATTTCTCTTCTGATATGAAAGATGTTCCCACTTTCAGCAACATTCAAGTCCTTAAGCACGGTTTTCAGCAGTTGGAATCAGAGGAATGACCTTCCTTTGAAATTCAATTCCTTTGCTATTTAGCAAAGCGATTGAAAGAGTACTTCTGAAAGAGGTGAAAAAGAATGTTTCAAGGTTCAGGACGGCACTCGTTTGGTTGAGTGTGCACGGAGACAACAAACCATCAATTTCATTAGATATGGATGTTACCCCTTGCCTTCCGCAACATAACAAGCTCATCACGTTCACGTCAACGATCTCCAATAGCACCTTCATGACCGATTCAAATCTACTTCAGTGGAATTGTGAAGTATGGACCTAAGGCATTATGTTAATGACCTGCAGTTATATAACGCGCAGGATACAAACCCATTAGTTATCTACTTATAAGAAACATATTTCAAAAAGCATCGATGAAATTTTAATTGAGCCAGTACAATTCAATTCATTCATTTTCTCCTCCTACTGATAGGGCCATTTTGGTTCGACAGAGCGTCATTCATAGTTATGTTCCTTAACACAAGTCTGCAAGTTGTGGTGCAGTTCATCTACCTGTATGTTACCTTCACACTTTGCTTTATACCTTCCTCCTTCTTGTCACCTTCTTCAGCTGGATTGAACTTCTCAGAGGTTATAGATAAAGTTAAAAATTAAAACCTAATTGTGCACACTTTTGTCGAAAACACACGAATATTTAGAAAATGAAAGCCATGCCTGAAGGCACTTGATATCTTATAAGTTGTTTCTAAC